ATTTGAAGAAAACTGTTGCCTGTGGGACATCACAGGCCAACTGCAAGGGCTTCCCTCAATGATTGGTCACTACAAAATTAAAATGGGGTGAAGCAGCCAGTTTGCGGAATGAAGAGATCCTAGCTCTAAAGTGGAAAGCTAAAAGAGATGTCTATACCCTTTCCTCAATTCATGATGACACCTCGGTGAAACTTCAAACAAGACAAGGTCCTATCCAGAAACCAAGATGCATACATGACTATAACCAGTTCATGGGGGGGGTGGATATGAATGACCAGATGTTACAGCCATACTTAGCCACCAGGACATCACTCTATTGGTTTAAAAAGGTTGCCATCTACTTGTTTCAGTAAGCCCTGTACAATTTGTTTGTTATCTTTTCTAAGTGCACACAAAGATCCCTAACCTACTTGTAGTATTAAGAGGATATTGTTACAGCCCTTCTCTATCCACATGGCCATGCCCTGAACAAATTCTCTCTGTTTCATTGACCAGACTCCATGAGAGGCATTTCCCCGATATCCTCCCTCTTACCCAAACAGGCCACAAACCCCCCCCAGAAATATGTGTGTTCCAGTAACCAAATTCACAGTGACACCCAATACTACTGTCTCCAATGTCCTTCCCAGCCAGGACTCTGTATTGGAGAGTGCTTCCAAATCTATCACACATCTCTACACTAGTTAAGATATTTTTCCAGTGTCCACTATCTGCTATTTCCCTGTATAACCTGGACTGTTTATCAACATGGCCTCTGCTTGCCACCTGAACTGACCTTGGACTGTTTAGTGACGATGCTTCTGCCTGCCACTTGAACTATCAACCACGTTTCTGCCTTCTACGTGTTAATTGACAATGCTTTTTGCCTGCCTCTTGAATGATCTTATTCCCTGCAACTCTATTAGTTGGATTCAAGACAACACAAGGGTCTCATGTATGTGAGGGGCTCCAGAATGTATTTTCCGAGTGGAGAAAATAAAGTTTTTGGTTTTCTCTGGGTTTTGTAATTCCCAGAAAAGGGTCTGTTAGTCCGGAGGCTTCAAAGAGATTGGGTGGGACGAAGCTTCTACCCCTGTGCTTAGGTTTTACCTGACCATGGCCTTAAGCCTGATATTTCTGCCTGCTGCTGACTTACTGCCATTATGCCTGTGCCTACCGCATGAACTGACCACACCTCTGCCTGCTACCTGTACTATAGATCGTGTTCCTGCCTACTACCAGGACTGATATTTTGACTGTGTTGACCATGTGTCTGCCTGGACAACTCATTTGGCTGTTGCTGACCGCATGACTTCTTGCTTCCTGGACCAATGCTTTGGTTGTGCTGGCAATATATCTGCCTGCTGTCTGTAGTGACTATGGACAGTATTCCTTCCTGCTGCCTGGGTGATTCCTTTCGCTGTCGCTGACCACATCCCTGCTTGCTGTCTTGACCAATGCTCTCCTCTGTGGACAATTGCACTACTAAAACCACAGGTAATTTTTTTGTTTACCCTTTGCTCAGCAGAATGTATTTTTTTGGTTGTAATTCTTGTTATGTACATGCTATGTGTTAGAAGCCTGAAGGTGCTACTTGGATGTTGGGCCTCTGGATGTGGCAAGGCTGTGGAAAAGTATTACACGTGGTATAGCCATACTCGGGTGGAGTAGCAGAATGTATTTTGGGGTGTAATTTTGGTATGTACATGCTATGTGTTAGAAATATCTTATAAATGGACGACTTTGTGTAAAAAAAAAAAAAAAAATACATTTTCATTTTCTTTCTATATTTTCTGAAAACTTGTGGAAAAAAATGTCATGTTCAAAAGACTCCATTATGCCTTTTAGACTATACATTGGGGTGTTTGCTTTCCAAAATGTGGTCATTTTGTGCTCAATTCCATTGTCTTGATGCTCCAGGGCCTTCAAAAATGTGATAGGTAGTCAGGAAATGAGATGTGAAATATATGCCTCCAGAACGCCTGTAGGTATTACTAGGATGTTGGGCCTCTGTATGTGGCCAGGCTGTGGAAAAGTCTTACACCTGTGGTATCCCCATACTCAGGAGGAGCAGCAGGATGTGTTTTGGGGTGAAGCTGCAAGTATGCATATGCCGTGTGAGAGGAATAACCTTTTAATATAACAGTTGTGTGAAAAAAATATATATATATTTACATTTTCCAAAGAATTGTGGGAAAAAAATGACAGGTTCAAAAAATTCACCATGCATCTCACTAAATACCTTGGAATGTCTACTTTCCAAAAAGGGGTAATTTGAGGGTATTTGTACTGTCCTGGCTTGTTATAGTCTCAATAAATGAGATAGGCCGTCAGTACATCAGGTTTGATCAGGTGTGTTCAATTTTCAGTGATTGGTACCATAGCTTGTAGACTCTGTAACTTTCACACAGACCAAATAGTACACATCTATTGGGCTTATTTTTACCAAAGCAATGTAGCAGTATACATTTTGGCCCACATTTATGAAGAAAAATTACTTATTTGCTAAATTTTATAACCGAAACAAAGAATTTCTTTTTGTTTTAAATTTCAGTCTTTTTAATTTTACAGTGCAAAATATAAAAAAAACTCAGTGCTAATTAAATACCACCAAAAGAAAGCTCTATTTGTGTGAAAAAAAGGACAACAATTTTCATTTGGGTACAGTATTGCGTGAGTAATTATCATTCAAAGTGTGAGAGCGCTGAAAATTGGTCTGGGTAGGAAAGGGGTAAAAGTGCCCCCTATTGAGGTGGTTAAAGTGTCCAAGCTCAAATAAAGTGTCTTTTTTAAAACTTTCAAGTAATTTCCAAAAACAAGTTATCAGTGCTGTGTAAATTTTCTCCAAACCTGTATTAATCCATCTGTGATTATCATCCATGATCCTCCACCTCCACACCAGAGAACTGACCAAATTCCCATGACCACTTAAATCAGGTAGGTCATTGGGAACTTGTGTTGCCGTAGGAGTTTTACCTTCCAGGATGCTCTTAAGCCAGGACATCTCCATTCATCATTGTGCCTCTCCGTCCCAGGCCTGCTCTGCTCTCTCTGCCAGGTTCTCCTTCCTCTCTTGGGCCTCAAATGCACGGAGCAACAATGGTTGCTTCTGGGATCTGAGGCCCGAAAGAGGGGGGACATCGCAGAACAGACAGTTTGATATGTATTGTTTTCTTTTCTCTTTTACAGAATTACCATGATTCAATTCACATTATTTCTTACTGGTTTTACAGCCATATGTTCTATTGTTTTCTATACCAGCATCCTATCATGTATTCATTGATGTATACAATACCTTGCTATCTGGCTTGCTTTAGAATTACTTTTTAAAATGTCAACTTTTGTTCCAGTATCTTTACTTCATGTTCATATATGTTCTATGTTTCCATTTTTATTTTGGCCTGATGCATATATTTTTGCATTGTTTAAGTTGCAAACTGTCAATGGCTATTGTAGTTCTGTTACTTGTGTACTGTCCATGGCTATTGTGCTATCCTGTATATTTATTTATTCTGATTCTTGTTTACATTGAGGAAGTTGTGAAAGGTTGTCTTTTTTTTTTTTTTTAATTGGTGATGTATCATACAAATGTAGCTTAGTGGTTATCAAAGCTGCAGAAGGCTAACATTTCTAGCAGGAGAAAGAGTTCCAGTTGACTTTGGAACTTTTAAAATGTGGCTATAAGTGCAAAACCTGCATAACGTGAAAAAGTACAGTGGTTCTAAATATTTATTTGGATTCATTATAAATACTGTTTTATGTTCATGTTGTTAACATAATTTTCTTTCTTTTTTTTCCATAGCAAGCAACAAAGGAGAATATTAGGCGCAAAGAGGCAGAAGAAAAACTGAAGAGAGTCAGGTTAGCAAAGGAAATGGCAGAAAAAGAGAAAGAAGAGAGACAAAAAAATAAGAAGCGTCTTCTAGAAAAGAACAGAGGTTAGTAAGCAAATGTATTATTGGTTCTACCACGCATCATGATTGTCCATTGGAACCAAAATTCCACTTCCTCTTCTGCACAATAATACTTAAAGGGAGTTGCTAATTAGTCTGTGGTCTACTTGTTTCTTCATTTCCAGCTATGAGGCACAGTGTGACTTCCAGAAACATCCTGGTCTTTGAGAGTTGCACTTATAGCAATATCAATCTTGGTTTTATTGTGAGTGGGAGGTTTTATTTGCATATTACAGTGCAATGTTTTAAGGGGGTTCACTCAAGTGTAGTGCTTACCAATCGCTTGGTCCACACAGAAAATTAAATTTAGGGCTTGTTGTCCACTTTTATTTAAACAGAAATTAAACGTTCACAAAAACAAGTGGTTGCACTTGCAGGGGTTTCCTCCATCACTCAGAACACAAAATGTCTTTTAGCCTCCTGGCTTCCTTATGCAGTGCTGCAGCTCAGGCCTTAAGCTTAGACCTCCCTCTCAATCTCTTTTTATCTCTCTCTCGAGCCCTGAAGTACTGCTATGCTATTGATTATAAGGGCTGTGCACACCTGCATACACAGCATGGTAGTCTCCGGTAAAACCCAAACCCAGGAATTACAAATCCTTAGAAAACAAAAAAAACTATTTTTCCAGTGTTCACAACAACCATCCTTGAGCCCCTCAGTCTTACTTCTTTGTGCCATTTACCTCTTCTTACACAGTGTCACGAAAAAAAAAATTATATATATATATATATTAATGTGAACTTTAATGGAATCCCGGTCTGTCTGTAGGGCTCAATATTGAGTTGGCCTACCCTTTGAAGCTATAACAGCTTCAACTGTTCTGGGAAGGCTGTCCACAAGGTTTAGGAGTGTGTCTATGGGAATGTTTGACCATTCTTCCAGAAGCGTATTTGTGAGGTCAGGCACTGATGTCGAACGAGAAGGCCTTGCTCGCAGTGTCCACTCTATCATCCCAAAAGTGTTCTGTCAGGTTGAGGGCAATCCAGTCAAGTTCCTACACGCCAAACTTGCTAATTCATGTTTTTTGGACCTTGCTTGGTACACTGGTATGCTGTCTCGTTGGAACATGAAGGGGTCATCCCCAAACTGCTCCCACAAAGTTGGGAACATGAAATGGTCCAAAATGTCTTGGTATGCTGACACCTTAAGAGTTCTCTTCACTGGAAGCCCATTCCATGAAGCTCTCTATGCACTGTTGTGCTAATCTAAAGGTCACAAAAAGTTTGCAAGTCTTGAAGCACTGTGCACTTCAGCATGTGCTGACCCTGCTCTGTCATTTTACATGGCCTACCACTTCATGGCTGAGTTTCTGTTGTTCCCAGTTGCTTCCACTTTGTTATATTATTCCACTAATAGTTGACCATGGAATATTTAGTAGCAAGGAAATTTGAAAGATGGACTTACTGGACAGGTGGCAACCTATAACGGTAGCATGCTTGAATTCACTGAGCTCCGGAGAGTGACCCATTCTTTCACAAATGTTTTTAGAAGCAGACTGCATGCCTAGATGCTTAATTTTATATACCTGTGGCCATAGAGGTGATTGGAACACCCAAATCCAATGATTTGGAGTGGTGTCCCAGTACTTTTGGCAATATAGTGTGTGTAAATATATATATATGTGTGTGTGTGTGTGTGTGTGTGTGTGTGTGTGTGTGTGTATATATATATCCCCAAACCTATTGCCAAATTTCATCTCTTGTTATTTGGTGATATCTTTAATAGAAGTGTTGGTTCAGGTATCCATTATCCAGAAAGCTTAGAATCTGAAGCCTTTTGTATAAGATTTTTTATAATTCAGAACACTGCACATATGGAAAAACAAAAAAACTTGCACAGCTGACCTGTTAATTTAATGTGCAGCAAAATTGAACTATGGTGTAACTCTAGGACAAGCATGAAGGGAGTTATGTGTCTTGTACAAGAGGAGCAGTATATTATTGCTTTGTTTGGTGTTTTTATACATCCGCTTTTATTAAAGTGTTGCTAAACCCAGGACCGTGCATTCACTATCTCTGGTCTCCCACAGTACACAGAACATGGGCATGCAATTATTTTAGTAAATATAAACTTCTAAATACCTTTTCTCATCAGCAGTTAGAGCACTCTTGTGATTTCTAACATTGTCCAACTGAGCACTGACTAAAGCTTGTAGGAGGAGTTTTCATTCTCCCCTGATTGTTCTATGAGGCTGCATAGCCCCTGCCCCTCTATCTGGACAGTGCTGATTGACCCCCTGTGCTGATGCACTCTTCCAAGGAAAAAAAAACCTCTAGCAAATCACACCAAACTGAGCATATGCAGCTTCCCCCCAAGGCTCTGTTCTATCAGCAGATGGATTGGGGAGAGTAGAAGGAAGAGAGGATCAGAGAAGACAGGATCAAACATAATTTTTCACAATGCGGAAGATTGGTTGGGTTCCCTTGGGTTCCACAGTAAGTATAACAAACATGCTTTACTACCTAAGCAGACTGATTTCACTGTTGTGGGTTTAGTAACACTTTAAGTCTATACCTACTTAAAAGAGAGAATCGTATTTCTCTTACCATACAGTACAGGACACATGCTTCTTGAAATCGTTAAGACTGAGTTATGTGCAGTTACCTTCAGATGAGTGGACACTAGCTAGCTGTGCTAGCCCAAACCTTTGTTAATATCCTTAGGTGATGAAGCACACCTTATTTTATGAAGGTTTTTCTCTCTCTCAGTGGATGATTTCTTTGAAGATGATTCCTTTATTACTTAGCTGCACCTTAGCCACTGTTGTTGTTTATGCAGCTTTTGAATCAGTGGACTCTTCAGCAGGATCTTGAGGAACAAAACATAAATCCCACTTTCTAGATGATGTTGGGTTGGACTGGCTTGGTGCCTTACATGGGATCCTGCTGTTGGTTCTCCCCTTGGCACATGTTGCATGTGGTGGTGTAACCACAAGGTGATTTTCAGATTCAGAGTTGTCTGCCTCATCCAGACCCCAGTCTTTGAAGACCCCTGTGGCAGAATGTGGGTACATTTCCCTTTTTCCTGCTTTGGAAGTGGTGATTACAGGGAGAAAACCCTTTTAACCCCATTTAGGGTGCCATGCTGCACCACAGTTGTGGAGGTTGTGATTACCCCATCTGGGAAATTCTATTCACAAAACATGATGTACTTTAAGCGGAAAGATAAAGGGGTCAAATATCAATAGCTCACACACATGCTTTAGTTCACTTGGGAGTTATAGTACATTGGTTCAGGACCCTAGTACCTTTTCATTTGATGGTTGTTCCCATTTTGAATCTGCCTTCCTCTACTTATTCAGCAGGCTCTTCAACTATGCCAGCCTCATCCTTCCTGTCTGGGGAGGAACTTTCTGCTACGATGTGTGAGTTCATGGGTGAATTTTATGGCCATATTAAGGACTTAGACTACATGGGTCACAGTCATACTCCTTCTCTCTACCTCCAGCATCAGGCTTTGACTTTTACCTTGAGTCAGACACGGTACCAGAGGGGGAGGCATCAGCTGAATAAGACACTCTGCCTACTGAGACCTCTGATTAGGAACACACACATGCTACAGAAATCTCTCCAAATCTCAAGGATACTATTGCTACATTACTTGAAGCTGTGCACTCCTTTTTGGCATTGCAGCAATCTGCACACCTAAAAGTTATTATCTGGGTGACCCTAACATTCCCTTCACCAGCTAAGACCTTTCCAGTTTATAAGCTGGTTGAGCATGTTCTGTATGGAGACTGGTCCCACTTGCAGATTTGTTCTCCTCCAAAACATTTCTCCCAACAATATCCTATTGAGGGAGTTTTCTTAGGAAATGTGGGCAATTCCTGTTGTAGATCTGGCCATTTCTTACCTTGTCAAGACCCCCACAGTCCTCATGAAGTATAATCCAGCATTAAAAGAGCGTGGTAGATAATAGATTAGCTGTCATTAGGGCTATCTTTGCCCTGGCTGTGTTGTGCAATCCATATTGTTTCTTTGACACACTATCAGACCTTTGTTACGAAGCATTGGTCCTGGAACCCTAGCTCTGTCTCTTTATGGATCATGCTGTCCAAAGTCTGCTGAAAAAATTGCCTTCAGCTGTGCCCGAGGGTGTGAATGGCTTGGCAGATACACTTTGGCAAATTTCATGGAATTTCTCTCTGTACTCATGTGCAAGATCCACAGAATTACCATATTTTTCGCTCCATAAGACGCACTTTTTTCCCCCAAAAAAAGGGGCGAAAATGTCAGTGCGTCTTATGGAGCGAATATAGAGCGGCCGGTCCGGTATTTCCGCCGTCAACAGCGTGTCAGAATACCGCGCTGGCCGCTCTGCTCTTCCCTGCAGCAGGACCTTACCTTATTCTTCAAACGCCGGCATCTTTAGTGTGGGAACCCGGCTGTGACAGCCGGGTGCTCACTGCGCATGCGCCAGAAGCGCTGCGCTTTGTAAATGGCCCAGCGTCTTCTTCCTGTCATGTGTCCCAGAAGACGCCAGGTCATTCACAAAGCGCAGCGCTTCTTGCCCATGCGTAGTGAGCACCCGACTGTCACAGCCGGTTCCCGCACTAAAGGGAGGACACCTCCGCGGAAGTGGGAGCAGGTACCTGCTCCCCCTCCCTCCCCAAAGGTCCACAGTCTCCTTGTCATCCCTTGTACTGTCGGCAGTCTCTGGTCATCTCCTGTACTGTCTGCAGTCTCGTGTCATCTCCTGTACTGTCTGCAGTCTCTGGTCATCTCCTGTACTGTCTGCAGTCTCCGGTCATCTCCTGTACTGTCTGCAGTCTCCGGTCATCTCCTGTACTGTCTGCAGTCTCTGGTCATCTCCTGTGCTGTCTGCAGTCTCTGGTCATCTCCTGTACTGTCTGCAGTCTCTGGTCATCTCCTGTACTGTCTGCAGTCTCTGGTCATCCCCTGTACTATGTCCGCAGTCTCTGGTCGTCCCCTGTACTGTGTCCGCAGTCTCTGGTCATCCCCTGTACTGTGTCCGCAGTCTCTGGTCATCCCCTGTACTGTGTCCGCAGTCTCTGGTCATCCCCTGTACTGTGTCCGCAGTCTCTGGTCATCCCCTGTACTGTGTCCGCAGTCTCTGGTCATCCACTGTACTGTGTCCGCAGTCTCTGGTCATCCCCTGTACTGTGTCCGCAGTCTCTGGTCATCCCCTGTACTGTGTCCGCAGTCTCTGGTCATCCCCTGTACTGTGTCCGCAGTCTCTGGTCATCCCCTGTACTGTGTCCGCAGTCTCTGGTCATTCCAGAGACTCCATACTGAAGTTTTTCATTCTACTGTCCAACAGCTTTTGAATCAAAGGGTCATTACTTCTTTACCAACAAACTTTCAAGGTTCTACCTAAACCTATTAATGGTTCCAGAACTGAATGGATGGGTTTGGTCCATTCTGAATTTAAAGACTCTTAACTAGTTCCTACATATTCAGAAGCTTCTCAAGGAAAATGCCAGGTCAGTTATTGCTGGATGCCTTGCTGCACATTCTAATTTTTCCACATTATCAACACTAAGTGTGCTTTGCAGGAATCAATGACCATTACCAGTTTTGTTGCCTTTCCATTTGGCCTGTCCACAGGTTGTCCAGGTTTTCACAAACGTTCTTGCCCTGCTTCCTTCTCAGGTTATTCCTGTCCCTGTTAACCAACATTCAAAATATGGTACAGGTTCTGCGGAGCCTCAGTTATATCCTCAGCTTTCAAAAGTCATTCCTGGAACCATCTCTCAGATTAGAGTACCTAGGGTCTGAGTCTGGACATGACTTTGTCCAGAACCTTTTGTCACAGGACAAATTAATGCTCCCTTGTCCTCATGCCAGGGCACTTTCGGCCAAAAGAGGGCCCCTATTTATGCTTACTTGAAGGTTTTGCTTCTCAAGGTGGCCTCCTTCAAGGCATATCATAGGCTAAGTTCACCATTCCGGCTTTGTGCGACAAAGAGGAACACATAATGTGTCCAAACCACATGGCCAGACTTTCCCTGACATGGTGGATTTTCATTCTGGAGTTAGGGAAAGCCTTTTCCTTTGCAAGCATAGGAGGTCCTAACAAGGCATGCAAGCCTCTCAGGGTGGGGAGCAGTGCTGAACCCTTTGTTGTTACAGGAAACTTGTTCATCAAAGGAAGCTCCGTTTTCAATCAACTTTCAGGAACTGAGATTTGGTAGTCCCTTCAATGCTGGATCCCTCCATTGCAAGGTGGCCCAACGAGAATCCAGTCAGACTATTCAATTATTAAGGAGGCACCAGAGGTTGACTCTCCTTCTGGAGGTCTTTCAAGCCTTTTTCAACAGGTGGGAAACACCAGATGTACAGTAGATCTTCTGATGTCCAGGTTCAACAACAATCTAGGTAGGTTTGTTGCGAGGTCCAGGAAATGCCAGACTTTTTAACAGTTAATGCTCTGCTGATGCCAAGGGATCAGTTCAACCTGATCCAGATTCTCCCTCATCTACTTCTCTGGATTGGGAAGGAGGGCTTC